CAAAGCCATGTTGCGGTTAATATTAGTGCACGTTCTGGAAGAGATCATCAAATCTAAAGCACTAACCACTGCCTGCTCATAGAAATGTGTGAACCTTCCAACGTAACATGTCGCTTTTAGCAGATAGCAATCAAGGGTTTCTGTTCCATGTCATTTCAACGGTTCTGTGAGGGCTTTAGACTCTCTTGGGACTTTAGGAGGCTATTTATGAACAACTGCTCACTTAATATTGTACGGGATTTGAACGTTTTAATCAGTGTAGTATGCCATCATCTTGGCTTTAGATCACGTGTCAGAAATGGCGTTCCATCCCGCATTGATACCATTGTTTACGAAATGAACCATATTTGCTTATTTCGTGTTAAAGGTACTACGTGCTATACCGTGCATATAAAAGTTTTTAAGAATACAATACTAACAGGACAAGAAAACAACTTACATGATGGGCTGCTAACTATTGGTTATGAACGGAGATCATTCTCTTATCGTATCTTCGAAGCAGGCAAGTACATTACATCTGACGCACCTTTGGCGGCTAGACTTGCGTAACCGTTATATATTTCGTTTATTTTCTGCTAATATTTTGGATAGTTGGAAATTTACAAAGGCCCAACATATCGCAGCTGGGTTGAATACAAGTGAGGTGATCTTTATATACGCGTTCCAACAGTTATTTTAAGAAAGGACAATCTCGCCAAGATTTCGGCGAATGGGTGCGTTGATACTAGTCGCGAAAAACGGTGCAGTGAAAATGTTGGAGGCGAAAATAGAAACTCGAATGGTAAGCTTGATTTTTTGCATCATATTCACAAGCACCTCTTTCTTTCAAATCAGCACCTCTTTTATTACTTTTACATAAAATTTGAAATATTTCTTGTCTCTTCAAATGAATTCTTCTTTTGATAAAATAAACTTTTTTAGTGCATCGAGTGTGGCAGTGGCTTCCTGGGTGGTGGTGCTGCTGAAGTGTGCGACACATGTTCGGGTGTAGGTGGAGCCATGCAAATGGGAGTTGGACTTGTATGTCCGCTATGTTCGGGCCTTGTGCTCAATCATAACGCGGCCCGAGTTTGTACGTCGTGCAAGAAGTGAGTCAATTGACAGTGGACCATATTGAACCTTTTTTTAAGTGTTTTTATCGTGTAACGACCGGAATCTTTAACTTTTTCGATGGTCTCACTGGTCCCCCCTTCCTAACTTTGAGAGAGTGTTTGTAGTGGATCAAGAATATCGCTAGCCATTCTTCTTTAAGATCTGTATAGAGTCCGTGCATATCATGCGGCAGCAATCAATATTCTAGAGAATCCATGCACAGTGTGGGCACCGGCCCTCATAGTAAAAACTGGGCACTATTGAGCTATTACAACCCCAGAGGGGGTGAGATGGATCAAAAAAATTTTTTCGCTGAAACTTGCGCTAGGGGGGTTATCGAGGCTCCTGATCACGAATATGACCTTAGTTTTGGCTCAATTTCTCTAGGTGACGCTCGAAATAGATGTCATCTAGGCGCTCATCCAGTAAGGGGGGGGGGCATCAAGTGGCTGCCCTCACCCCCCACCCCCCTGAACTGGCTTCACTCCCCCTGGCTCACGGGGTCCCGTACTTCGAGAAACCTGTGTGCCAGGGGGAGTGTAGGCAGTCTAGGGGGTGGGGGGTGAGGGCAGCCACTTGATGCCCCCCTTACTGGATGAGCGCCTAGATGACATCTATTTCGAGCGTCACCTAGAGAAATTGAGCCAAAACTAAGGTCATATTCGTGATCAGGAGCCTCGATAACCCCTATTCACAAGTTTACAGCGAATTTGGTGAAACACACCCTTGGCGCCCAATTGGCGCCGCGCCAATTTGGCGCCAGCGCCAAAAACTAAGGTCATATTCGTGATCAGGAGCCTCGATAACCCCCTAGCGCAAGTTTCAGCGAAAAAAATTTTTTGATCCATCTCACCCCCTCTGGGGTTGTAATAGCTCAATAGTGCCTTGTTTCTTGATAATGGTCTTCGCAGCTCCGAACACACCTGGCCTTCGATTCGTTTCGAGTGGTCAATCACTTCGTTTTTTTTTCATTGCAGATGGATTTCTTATTAAGGTTCGTTCATCGTGAGTGCGATAGATCTGACGTTAATATGTCTGAATTTGTGTGTGCGTCTTGCCGAAGATCGCCACTTGTTGGTGATATCATGCTGTCTGCTGCAATCGGGCCCGCCTCTCCTCTGGGAGCTGAGTCTGGTTCGTTGTTTTGACACGTTATAAAACCGTGAAATTTTCATGTCTATAGCTTCATTTGGCAGATTCCATCACGGTCCCGTCATCAACATCCGCCTCTGACTTGACGTTGAATCCGTTCCGTTCAAGTTCACCGGTCACTGCTAGTACTGTTGTACCGGATTTTAATGTGGACGTGTACAACATGTCGAGGGAATTTCTCTCGGGCTACACAAGTGATTCTGGCGCGAAATTCCCCATTCTACCCTGAGAATTCTCCATCAGATGTAGATGAGGATTTTGTTCCTGGGAGGTATATTATCAGTAGTTATAATATTATCACATCCTTGTGTAATACGATTTCTATCTAGCTCCCGAGGTGGTTATACATCCTCGAGTGAGCGTGGCGCGAAAGAAAAACCTGGTCGTGTAGTTCCTCTAAAACGAGAGGAGCAAAGCCACCGGGTGACTCTTCGATTTTTCCTCCATCTACGCGAGGGAAACGTGGTAAACGTGGATCGAAAGTGAACGGAATTGGAAAAGCTCCCGGAACAGGACGTGGTCGAGGACGAGGGCGGTATGATATTCAAATGTGTTTGAAAGTTTATTTAAGCATCGCTTGGAAGAAAACTTTGGTTTCACTTTAGAATAATTTGGATAGAAATTCCATTGGTTTAAGTATGATTGTCATTCAGTATTAAGTTTCACTCTCCAACGATGCATACAAACTTATTGGCATTAGGACGTTCTGCAAGTTGTCGCACTTTACAGTTGCTTTTCAGTGGATCAAGCTCACAAATACAACAAAGTGCTGTCCTACAACAAATTATAATGCAGCAGCAGCAACAACACCAACAGATGCAGCTGCATCAGCATCAGCATCAGCAACACAAGCCAGCAACAGAGAGGGTGTGTTCATTACAAGCCTAAAGTTGTAGGCCTGCAACGAGAAGTGCGCACATGCTTGCCCCATTGGCAGGGATTACATTTAATCACGAGGTGTAGACAATCGTTGGACTGAGAAGACTGAAGACCACCCCGAATCACGTGCTGACCCGATGTAGAGGTATGATTCGACACGGCCTATCATACCACCACTTGTAGAACATCCACGCGCAAGACCCCAATACGCTACAGCAGGTAGTCAATGAGCCCTGCTTTTTTTTCAGGGACTTTGTGGTATCCATTGTTTTACCTTGTTATCGCTCATGACACCATATTTTTTTCTTCAATCCTGAGCGTTTTTTCATTTATTGTCTTTAATATTGATGTTCACGCTGATGCACTCTCGAGGGGACAAGCTTCGCCCCTCTTATTCGTCGCAGCATTATGTCTCACATGCGGTGCATTTAGGAAAACGCCTCCAACCGCCAGAAAATTTACTGGTTGCTGTTGGCTAATTCACCGGCGACCCCGCGCAGGATTTCGCCCCTCGACCTTTCACCACACGTCACTGTGCTCCGGCTTACACGAACCAGGGAAGTTTTTTTTTTTAAATCTACGGGTGTCTTTGTGCAGATTAGTTCAGGTTTACTAACGGACCTCGGCGACTCTCCCCCGCCATTGTGCTGAATCCATGTAATAGCATATCAGACTTGCCAACCTCAAGCTGTGGTCATCAGGTTTGCAGTGTCTTGAATTGTCGATAATGGCGAAGTGCTGCGGAGAGGGTAACAGCATCGGAGTCGAAATTGCTTCTTTGCGAAGAATGTGACGTTTCCTTCCATATTTACTGTCTATCCCCGCCTCTCGATCGCATTCCAAATGGTCCTTGGAGGTGTCAGTGGTAGGTTCAGAGTAATTTTGTAGTTTCGTTATGCGAACTGCTTTTTTCTTAATCATTCCTTCTTGTGTTTCTAACTACGGCGAGGAGGGTTGTATTCCGCACACCCCCCGAATATTTCATCAAGCAGACCCCCGCCTATATCTTATTTATCGGTTTTAGGTGCGCACGATGTCGTCGTTGTAACATAAGAGTCACTTCTGGTACGGATTTAACTCGGGAAGGGCTCTGCACTACGTGTGGATCTCTAAAGAAGTGTCCGAAGTGTTCTAAACACTACAATATTGGTGAGAAGATCATCAAATGTAGTGCGTGTGCACGGTAAGTGGAAAGATCCCGATACTTTGGTCTATAAAGACATGACGGTGAGCATGAGTTTCTAGATGGTATCACGGAACATGTGAGGACCTCTACAACGACGAGATGTTGGAGTCCGCATCGGCTAACAAAATGCGTTTGCTCGCGCATGTTCGCCAAAACGCGGCCAACTGGCTATGAATGGGATAAGTCAGTTCATCTTTTCTTGGTGTTTGTCTTGTTTTTTGGTTGCCCCGTTCTCATGAGCGGACAATAATTTGGGTATTTTCAAATGTCTTTTGGCGCTAGATAATTGCGATCAATACTTGTTTTCTTTTATTGTGAACACCCGCTTGTCCAACTCAGATGAATTGATGTCCCACAAGGCTGACATCTGCTACTCACCGCTAGCTGATATGTGATATACTGCTTGCTTTGACAACCATCCCGCTGAGGCCGCGGTGCTCAACAAGTCGGGGTTTTAATGCCGCACGCTTTTCGACCCCAATATCCATCGTGTCGTTGCATCTACCGCGATCAGCCGTTTTGATCATCTTGTACAGCATCGTTTATGCGAGCCTATTTTTGCGCATGCTATTTTTCGCAGTGCCCCATTTTGTGTTCTTGGGAGAAAGTGGATTGAGACAGATCAGTGAGGGAAAATCTTTTTGCTACTTCAACATAATTATTTCTTGGAAGTTCTCTTTTAGTTCTGTGACTTACAAATAGTTATTCCTGGAACCCTATCTTTAGTTATTGCATGTCTCGCTATAAATCACACAAGTCCGTTTCTGGAAACAGTAGGTAAGTTCTTAGTCAACTCTTCAGTTGAGAATCCGTGCCTGCCTATCTGTGATCCCGAGTTCGCTGTCAAAGGGCCCTGGGGTTGACGTTGATTTTGACTTCGCCCCCCCCCCTTGCTGAGCGGGTAATTGGTAAATCGTGGCATTTATTTTTTGTTGGTCCAAGCTTTGATTCTTCAATTTGCCAAATTGTTGAATAGCATTTTCAGTAGGCTGTTTCAAATAATGTGAAGACGCCTTTTTGGTCAAAAATTCTGGCTCACGTTCAAAAATCGATCGTAGTCTCGTAAGAGTAAAATCCTTCATTTAGTTACCAGAGGAGTTCAGTCAGTTCCATTATGAAAGAAAGAGTTCTCTCACCCACATAGCCCCGATAACAACAACGATGAGATCGATCTGTGTTGGGGGCGTGGATTCCAGGAAGTCCTGTGCTCCTAGTGAACGTCATTTGTTTGTTCATGACCCTGACCTGGACGGCGATTCAATGATGTCTTGAAGCCGGTGTCAACGCGAAGCTCGACAATTCCGCGATGAGACAGGGATGTGGATCTGATGGCTGAGGGCCACAGACGTCAGTTTTGCGCCCTTTTCACCTTCCGTTCCCGTTTTTCGTTGTCGACGTCACAATGACGTCAACGGCGGCAACTTTTTTTTCCCTCGCCAACGATGACCGTTCTCTGAACCCGTCTGTCGTAATTTTTCGCCTCGACACATCAGTGTTCGCTAAAACGCAAGTTCCACATTTGTAACTTGAAGGAACGTATCTCTTAAAAAGTTGTAAAGATGCTAGCTGCATTGCTTTGTTTCATCGAGGCTAGGTAGGTTGACACATGTGGATTCTTGGGGATGTTGTACTTTTCCGGTCAGGTATGTGCACTCC